CTTCCTTTTGTTGTTTTCTTCCTTCCTTCTTTTTTCATTCATTCATTCTTTTTTTCTTCACTCCCTTTTAATTTTTCTTTTCTTTTATGTCTTGCTTCCTAGCCCTTTCTTTAAATAGTCATCTTACTCTTATCTTTTAGCGTTTTTCTAGAACTGGCTTGTAAAGCCTATGTGTACTATTATTCGTGTTGTATTGGAACCGATAACTTCACTTCCACGGAGTAAGTACTAATGGCCATTTGCAAAACGAGCAAGTGACTTTGAGTGATTTGAATTTTTATCTTAGTTGAAAAACAATAGTGCCATTTGACAGCATCTGAATATTAGTAAGTCTGCCTTTTTTCCTTATRATAAACAAGATAGGTCCTATATGTGTTCACTGGGCTGCCTGTGGGCTGTGACTATGCGTCTACCACAGGTAGCCCAGTAGAAAGTATTTGGTTAATAAGTTTTCTTTGTCGTTTTCTAGTAGTAAAAAAGCTAAACAAAAAGAGCGTCAAAGTTGCGTAARATTTCGACTTGTTCCACTTGCAGAGTTTTCATTTGCGTTTCGCGCTGTTTTTGAGTCGCTAAAATTTGTCGGGAATCCTAGTGTGATCCTAGTTGGGCTGCCTGTGCTTTTAGTCAGCCCTTGTGAATTGATGTAAAGACGAAGGACTTTGGGAAAGTCTATAGTAGGACTAAATAGGGCTGTATTATATTCTTTACAGAGGTGGCTCTCAGACTCAGGAGCATGGTGGAAAATCGACCATGGTAAGTAAAAAATACTTGAATTGGGTTCCCTGTGGAACTTACAATTTTGCAGTTTCACTGACCAGCAGTAGTGGTTAACCATAATTCTATTATCGTTTTAGGATGAAATCGAGGTTCTTACGCGTTTGGGAGTTCATTTCTCGGATGGTACGATTGTACAGGTGCAATGGTCTCTTTTGTTTTATTTTAGTGATAGTCGTTTTCAATATACCGAATCAAAATATGGCGACTAATTTGAATAACTATTGTTCTGGATTGACTAGCCTCTCATACAAGTGAAAACGCTTCTACGCTTCCACGTGAACACGAAGCTAGTCAGTCACTAGTCAGTGCAGAACAATAGTTATTCAAATTGGTCGCCATATTTCAACTCGGCATATAGCACGCGTAGGTTTTGGTGGAATGRTAAGACTTGGTGGACGTCAATCAAGGCGCGTTTCCATGACAATCCATAGACACGTGCCCTTGAAATCTTTGTGATTTCCGAAAATTTCATGGAAAGACTGATTGACACCCAACGAAACCATATTTTATCGAATTGCCAAAATTCTTAAATTGATTTTCGCAAAGGGAGAACCCGGAGAAAAGCGTCGAAGCACTGGAGAGAACCAAAAAGTACCAATACTCACACATGACGCAGCGAATCTATGATCACAAYAGTGAAAGACAGCGTACTCCAACTGCGCTTCCCCCTTCCGTAATAGACTACTTTGACGATGTGGCAGCCATCTTGAAACGCAAGGCATTATGGGTAGCCAAAGGGGCAAAACAAAACAAAAATGCTGAAATGACGACCCCGTGATATTTGAAAAATTTCCTCAGAAGTGAAACTTTGCTTTTTTTAAATTCATCTCTTGTCAAATTGTCTTGTTATGAACCATAAATGTCAATTTACGCCATTATTGGAACAAAACTTTGTCTATTTGTCCCCTTGATGACCCACAATGCCTTGTGATTCAAGATGGCTGCCGCATCGTCGAAGTTGTCCTTTGTTGCTCTCCGTGAAACTCATACATTCTAATTTTATTTTTGATTTAGTATTTTGCGGAGGTTATCAAACAGCAGCAGATTGACGCTCATTTCCATGGCAACGAAGGTAAGAGTGTATGTCTATTTTTAAAGCGGTTTAAAATTACCAGCAGTAATAGTAGCTAGTCGAGGCTTCACAATCGATAACCTGATAAAGGTTATGGGCTGATCAAAGTCAGGATGCTGCTACCTTAGCGTGTTAGGTTTTGCGAGAGAACAAAACCGGAGAAGCCGGAGAAAAAATCCGAATCAAGGGAGAGACCTAACGAACTGTACTCACATGTGACGAGAATCTAACCCCATACCAAAGATGGTGAAAGGCGAGTGCACCATCGCGTCATGGCGGCCACGAMAGAAGGGAGGAACAATTGATTTTGGTCCAATATTTTGGTCTCCCAAGTGCCGAACGCGCCGGCCATCTTGGATTGCAATGTATTATTAGTCCATTGTTGTGCCTCCTGTCATGGCTGCCATCACGTGATGGTGCAAGGCCTCTATTCCCATAGACCAGATGCTTTCCTATCGGTCAGCGTCGATAAATCGAAAGACGCGGGCTTAGAAAACAGAGATCAAGAGATCGGTCTCCCTGTGGCTTGTTAAGGAAATCAGTAATGACGTCACCAGTCTTTAATGAATACGTTYCTTTACATGTTTTTATTCTGTTTTTGATTACAGAATTAAGAGCACAAACTGTTATTGMTAATCTTTCAAAGTCTCTACAATATAAGAATGTTGCTCCTCTTGATCCTTGACGCCATGCTTTCTACCTCCGGTAGCTATGTCCTTCATCTACTTCCTTTAGCCATGTTCTTCATCTATTTCCGGTAGCCATGTCCTTCATCTACTTCCGGTAAACATGTCCTTCATCTACTTCCGGTAGCCATGTCATTCAAATAACGCGTTTCGTTAAAAAGAAACAGAGTTTACAAGCATTTAAATGTGTCGAAAATTGACAAAGAATGTATGCTTAAAGGAAACTAGGAGAAAGGCTTCGGTAACCATGGTAACTTCCAAATAAATGGAGAAAGAAGAAAGACGAAAGAAAAAAAGATGAACAGCGAAAAATGATAAAAGAAAGATGAAAAGATGGAATGATTGACGGCGTGCAGCACTTTGGAATGCATTCTGGARGGCAAGACATTAGGTTTCCAATCTCAGGAAATTGAAATACTTTTGTTATGTTCTCCAAATATGACCTCCATTGACGTCGCAKGCAATAACATGCAATAACGGGGTTTGTAGATTACATAAATGGATGGATGAGTGAAAARTATATGAATGAAAAGAAAGACAGAAAGTAGAAAATGCAAAGAAAGGATGGAAAAGGCGAAGAAACTAATCAATTAAATAGTTTTAATAATTTTTAATAATCTTAACAACGTTTAAACAAAATACAAATAAATGCATAATAATAGCAATAGCAGCAACAAGGTTAACAACAACAACAATAATAAGAACAACAAAAGCAACAATTTAAAAATAGCAAAAATAACAGTGTTTGTTCAAAGAAAAATTTTCAAAAACAAAAATAATTTTTTCCTCGCAAATGTCTAGCGAGAGCATAAATTATMATCGATTATTCGGCTGAAAACGCATTTTTTTGCATTTTTTTTCCCAAAACGATTCATAATTTTATTATCAGAAAGAAATTCGGAAATCTCAAATCAGCCAGAATGTTGTCATACATCGATGTAAATATTGACTTGAAATTTTAATAAAAAATTATAATAAAAAAAAGAATTAATAATGGTCAAAAATTCACAGCTGTGTAAGATTGACTCTTAGTTTTTTAATTTTATTTTCACTGCAAATTAAATATTACAAATCCAATTTCAAGTTTATGCATAGTTTTAAATTATTGATATTCGTTTCTATATGATTTATCTTCACCCCGTAAAACAAATATATTTTTCAATGTACAAGAGTCAAATAGAGACGAAAACAACAATAGAAAAAGAAATACTGGTTTTCCCTCGCACTATAAACTACTATTTCGCTGGATAAATAGAGCAACAACTCAAAGTTTTCATATATTTAGGTTTCGATGGCGCTAACCTAAAAAAAAGCGCGCGAAAACCTTTGACGCGTTCGCGCACAAAAACGAACAAAATGACTCTCGTTAATATAATTTCATTATTAACCAATGAAAATCATTCCCACATCTTAAYCGTAATAATCTAATTCAAATGCTTCTTTGGCATTGTCGTCGCTTTGAAACAGGTAAAGTGGCGCTTAAAATCTGTATTTAAGAAACTCAAATTATTTAATTCCTGGCTCTTTGATAAACGCTGCAGTGGTATTTTGGGAAAATTTCTAACGGTAAGTACGTGTTAAGCATTTATTTGTTTAAGTATTATTCACATCCTATGAAATTCAAAGTCCTGCGCCAAACGAAGAGAAATTATGTGCTAAAGATGTTAACGAAATTTTGCATTCGTGATTATGTTTAACGGCTACGCTCAGTCGATGTGAAAGCGTTGTAAAACGTTTTTAGCAAAAATGAAAATATCTGAAGCATGATTATCGTAATATAGGTGTTTGTAGGCTTGGGCTTAACTTCATTTGGTTAGATTTGTCGCATCAACCTTTGAAAAGTATTTAACGGTTGATAAGACAAATCTTCCCAAATGAGATTATTATTATCGTAAGCGGATCTCAGTTTAATCTTCATTAATAGTCATAACATTWAATCCTAAACAAGTTATCTACATCTGAAAGATTGGATTTTTTTCTAGTATAATACTTAACTCTTTGCGGAGCCGCAATGACTRAAAAAATGAATTTCATTCAAAAAWWWTTTTTTTTTACTTTTTGATTAAGACATTCATTCATGGATTTGTTTGTTTTTCTATTTGTTTGTTTGCCTGTTTGTTCGTTTATTTGTTTCTTTGTTTGTCTGTTTGCTCGTTTATTTGTTTGTTCGTATATTTGTTCGTTTATTTGTTTCAGAACATTTATGGAATTTTTTTTTTATAATTTTTTTTAGTTATTTTTAATTTGCTCGCATATTTTAACGCATGCGTTTTCGCGGTAAACTATAGTCATCATTAGTCGCATTGCCCAGCGATTTATTTATGAAAGTATTCATGACAGACTTGTGTGTAACTACAAGCCGCTTTGTTGAAGTATCACACGAACTGATGTARGAGTTTCGTTGCATCATTATCATTTATCATTATTATCGCCATAACTAYCTTCATCACTATCATCATCATCATCAATGTCATTTTTACTTTTCCTGTGCTACTGAAGTTCATTAGTGAAGTGCCGTATCCCCGTACCTATCAAGCATCTGAGTAAAAATATATATTGTATTTTTGGAAAGCAATTTCATGAGAAACAGCATGAAATYAATGTGATTCTTAACGACATAGTTTATGAAAAAATAGTGTAGATATATTGAATCATCAGTTCTTTCGACATGCTGCTAGGGAGATAAGTGTTTTGAAAACCCCTTAGTGGTTAACACCGGAAAACTCGGCCACTTTTCAGGAAAAAAAAAACATTGAAAAAAACATTTATTCTGCTAGTTTGTGCTGTTGTATTTATAATTAGCTAGCTTCGTTTTCTTTCTTTCGTTTTTCATTTATTCATCGTTTTACTCGTTACATCAAGCTGACGCTGAGYAGTAAACGAGACTGTAATTGAGAAACAGCGGTATTTTGTGTCAGTGACGTCATACACGCCATTTTGAAATGAATTGAGTTTTTCGAGGCTTTTGCGTTAAATAAGGCATCATATTATTGAATGTAATATTACGGACAAAACGCGTAGGTTTGTTATGATGAATCATTCTGTTAAAGGCTATCACAAGTTATAACCGAAACGTCTTGTTTTTTTTTTAAACAAGTCTACGCGCTTTATCCTTGTATTCAATATGAATCGAATTGTTTGTGGCTATTCATTGCATAGGTTTAGCCTCGTTTAATATCAAATCATTTTAAAAGTCAACTGAATTTGAAGAAAGTGAGAATTGAATTAAACACCAATGTTTATGAACTGATTCAATTGCCGGACTTTTTAATATGGTATCTGCGAATAGCTGACTTATATACGAGGCTACACTTGTACAAAATGACATGGCTGTGGTCTTCAAAAATAGCAGTATACATTAAATGAGAAAATCTGTCAATCACTCGGGACATTATTGCAGCCTCTTTTTTCAAATTTGACACACATAGGCCCCCCCCCCCCCCCCCCCCTAATGGAGCTTTGATATGAAAATAGCATTTCTTGGCTTTGTCATTGAAGTCCTTAGTGATTTCGCTTCTCTCAGTTTGAAGGAATTAGCCAATCAGCGAACATTTTGCTCGTAGCTAAATCTTTTCTAGTTCCAGCAGGTTATCGGCTCATTAAACAACAGCTTAGCTTTTCACTCAACATTAAAGAAAATAACACTCATCTATGGAAAGACATACACATATACAATATACAAGATATATTTTAGAAATAGCCTATTTCGTCGTTGTTAATAGAAAATATTTCGTTTTGGCAAGAGATTATAGAAAACACTTGCAAATTTTCGCTTGGACAAACAATGCATTGCGCACCGAGATTCCAAATTCACCTGGGTGCCAACACCTGTTTCAACTCACTCGATGAGTTTTGAATTAAATATAGCTGGTGAAATCGTTGAAAACACATTTACCATTCTATATGACMAAAGTAAACCTACTACAAGGAGGTTATATCAGTTCCTGCGGAAGCAAAATTATTGTAAGTATTGAGTGATTTATTACAGCTTTTCATGTTCTTATCACGACAGTTTTTGCAGTTTGCGATATTAATTTTTGGCATGACTTTCGAATCAAGCAGGTTAGAAAAGAATCATAATCAATCAATCACTTTAGGTTAAGCTTTTTTTAATATTCCCTACTCTTTTACACTTCTCTCTTCCCTCTTCACTCTTTTCTCTTTTAGTTTTTATTAAAATAAACTGAAGTGGCTTGGGGTATTTTGCTGAGCTGATTAATCCCCCAAAGAAGCATTTAAAAACCTATCATAATGAAAGTTATAATGATAATTTGAATTAATTTCTTAGCTCATCATCTTTAAAACTAGGTAGTATATTGTCTTGTTCAAAATTTATTGAATTTAAAAGAATGAAATGACGTTCATCATGAATATAGAAGTATAGATTATATGATAGGATGGAACAGAATGAAAAAATGAGAAAGAGATTGAAGGAACGGAAGAAAGAAAGAAAGAAAATAAAGAGAGGAGAGGAGCGAAATAGGAGAGAAAAGAGAAGAAAAACAAATTTCTTACAACCACTATTCCCATACAGGGCTCTCCCGTGAGGATCCGTCACACGTACTACAGCTACATTCTATAACTAAAACACACAACGCTCAACTCACATTTTGATTTTTACGAAGGGAGGAAACCGGAGAAAAGAGAAAAGAGCAGAGAGAGGAGAGAGAAGAAAGAAGAGAGCAAAGTGAAATTTTAAATACCTTTCGCTTCAATTATTCTCCCCAAGATAACTATATGAACATAAATTTCAAAAGCACGAAATCGTAAGCTTCGTTTATCAATAGCAACCTTAATTTAGTATTTTAGATCTTCTTAACGTTAGTATATATCATCTTTCAAAAGGAATACTTTTAATSCTTTTCTGGTCGCTTTTAATGCGTTTACATTTATCTTTTTTATACCAGTCGCGTCGAGAAATTCGTCACACTCGTTCAAGTCTTTTAATAACCTATTTTTTAAATATTCATAAATAAATATATGATTTTCTCTGTTTTAGCATCTTTAATGACTTCTGTTAAAACTGCACTTGCTGTCGATGTTGTTTTTAATTTTTTGGGGTCTGTGTTGCTGGAATTATTATGATATRAACAGAATTACTGAATTCAGTTATTTATTTATTTTTCAACTACTTGGAATTATTTCATTTTAATAGATGGCAAGCACAACACATAAATGAATAGTGCCTGTAATGTTTCATAAATCATTAAAATTCCATTTAAGAACCCGTAACTTTCTATAATTCTCTAAAAGTAAATAGAAATCTAGTTGTTTTTATAAAGTAAATTATTTTTTTCCGTTCCGGTATCCTAAAMAYTCGTGCGTTCTGATTGGCTGTTTGAGCGGGCGGTATTTTGCCAGTATCTGCGAAGATTTTAAAATTTCATTCGGATTTGAATATTATAATAAGCTAATGATTGTAATAAATAATTGAAATAGAATAAATAAACTAGAACTAACAGTGGTTCCAAAGAATACTTCTTCTAGTTCCACTTGATTCCAAGTGTAATTTAGAAGTTGATTTTTGAGAAGGGAGGAAAACCGGAGAACCCGTTGAAAAATCCTCGAAGCACAGGAGCGAACCAACAAACAACTCTAATCCCTGAGAGTCCGTGAATTGGACCCGAGCTAGGGATAAAATAACATCAAGTCTTGCTTGTTAGTGCACTTGCGTCGTGGCAAGAACTTATATTTTACCTACAGGTGTATTGTAGTCAATACATCTCTAATTTAACTAGCTATGAATACAGAATACTTTTCTTTACTTTTGGCTTGAAGTTTCGACATGCTAATTTGCTAATTGGTATATATTCAGTATTCCATTCAGTATTCACACACCTAGGTACCTGCTTTGTCAAGGTTGGTGGTCTAAAAATAAATAGGCTAACTGTATTATTGTTTCTCCAGATTTTCTACTTGACAGCCTGGCGGTATGAGATAGTGGAGATCCACGAGATCTTAGCTTTCGCTAACTCACTCTAAAAATAAAACCCAAAAGTAAAACAAAATAAACAAGGAATGAAAAATTTTTTTCCAGGTTCAGAAAATTTCTACATTTGAAATGCAAAATTTATTATTTTTCTCGCATTTTGATGCATTTTAATTCAAGATAATATTAATAGAATATTTTAATAAAAACCATTTTAAAATAACGCATTTCAAAATCTCAATGCCTTTACAATAATGAAATATATATACACTTATTTCAATAAAGTTAGTCACCAGAAACCTAGAAAGCTGAGATCACTGAGCATCATGGGAAACTTTTCATATCAAAAAAAGCATATATATACAAAGCTTTTTTAATACAAACTGCAGCTCGATGATGCTCAGAAGAGGTGAGACTGTAACCGGTAAAAGATTCGCAAGTCCATGAACAGTTATCAAGCGGTTGAACGTGTAAAATGAATCTACTCATAATCCTGGTCGGCCTCAGCTTTATAGCTTTTCGGGTGACTAACTTTATTGAAATAAGTGTATACACTCTAAAAATACAAAAAATAAAATAGTATAAAGCAGAAAGAATGAAATAAATAAATAATGAAAATAGAATAAAATTTTTAATACAGTTAATATAGATAAGAAGAATCATCATAATGTTATTTAGCGTCACGTTTGAAAAATTAAGTTTTAAGTTTTTTTCTTGAAAATGTCAATTTAAGGTGAAGTCTTTATGTCATGCGGTAAAATGTTTCATATCTTAACCGTTTTTCTTAGCTATTTCTCCTTTCTGGTGCTTGGAAAGAGTTAATGTTGAATTTGTTTGATTCTCTCATAAGCCATGAGTGTTTTTCTCCTGGTTCTCCGGCTTTCCTCCCGCCGTAAAAATCAATAGGTGAACTAAGGTTTGCAATGTGTGCTGAAAATAGTGAATAAGCTCATCGCGTTTTTTTGTCAGTTTTTGTTTTTTTGTTTTGTTTTGTTTTGTTTTGTTTTGTTTTTTGTTTTTTGTTTTTTTGATCAGCGCGGTAAAACACGTAATTGAGCATCTCTTTAGAAAGGCTTCAATTCATAATTGAAGTGATTCTAGTAGTATTTGATTAAAGACATGTATTTGCTTAGGAATGATGTAACCCAATAGACTCTTACTGCTACGGCGGCCATCTTTAATTATTCAATGCCGGTTGAAATGTCGTGAATTAAGTTTTAGATGTGTTTCTCATTGAATAGCGTAAAGTTCTATGAAAAGACACCCTGAATGGCGTCAGCATATGATCCAAACTCAAGTTAAAGCACGAGCGCAGCAATAATAATAATAATAATAATAATAATAATAATAATAATGATAATAATAATGATATAATAATAACAATGATATTATTGATAGTCAATAATAAAAATGATAACATTATAATAAATGATAAATGAAATCTAATCAATAATAATGATAGTAATTGCGAAAGCGGGCAATATTTTCTATTTCCTGGGACAACAAACAACAGACAACAACAAACAATTGCCCTATTTCACTATGA